AAAACTACCTAGATATTACACCTACTCAGATGCCACTTTTAACAAGCCTATTTTACTTTTAATACATTTAAATGAATATGTAAAAATCTATCAACACATTTCAAACATTTCTTCAATTGGAACTCAGAGAAATTAACAGTAAGCACCATCTTTGACATTAAATACATCACCAGCCAGGGCCAAAATTAGTTCAGAAATTATCACTTGATTAAAATTACAAACATTAGCTCAATCTGCAATCTATTAAGACATAACTGGAGATGTAAATTCCAGTTTGTCTTTATCCAGTATGTCTGAAGCCAGATAAGTACTTGCTATTAATCCATACTCCATAGCTACAAGACAAGTAGAAGAAAACAGAGCTCTCTGACCCTGACTTAGAAATGTCTGTGATCCCAAAATGGTAGAAGTAATTAAAAAAATAATATATACACACACATATATATATAACATTTCTTTTATCAAGGCTTATAAAAGAAGTAAAACCACACACTGTCATATAAGAAAGCTACATTGATTTTTTTTGCACTGGTTTCCCCCCTGTAGTTTAATGTAAAGGTTAGTCAATTCTAAAGTATGCAAGCTACCTAAAACATCCACAGTTCTTCCAAGAAGAATCTTGTGACTTTTTCTAAACATCAGTGACATCCAAAAAACCCCAAAGATTTAATTATCCTTTCTAGGAGGATGCCTTTATTATATGTTTCAATAATAAGCCAAACAAAACTCTTGGCGAAGCTGACTAGCAGACTAAAAGTATACTCTGCTGTCTTCTGACCTAGCAGATCTAACTTGCCATCCTTCAGTCTGTCAGATATCCTAATCGTTACTGGGAATTTTTCTCTTGAAAACACTGAAAATTCTAAGGAGACATTTTAAAATGCAAGTGATCAAGCACTCACAGCTAAGGTGCTGCCATCAAATGCTCCAACCAAACTAGAGAGACACTGCTTTTCCTTAGTGCTTTCTAGTTCACAAATCTTATTTCTGAGAATACACACCTAAAGAGCCACAAAGAAACTCCTCATGATCTGTGATTATGGTGCTCTCAATTAATGATAATGGGTTTGGGATGTTTGGGTGAGGTTTTTGGGGGGAGGCGGGAAGGGGAGTAGTGGTGGTGGTGGGTTATTTTTTTGTTTGTTTGTGGTTTTTTAGTGGGGGTGTTATTTATTTACTTGGGGTTTCGTTGGTTGGTTTTAAAAACAATCCTGCAACCATAGCCAACCATTTCTCCTACTGTGCTATTAACTTTTGAAACCGAAGTGTGGTTTCCTCCCCCCAGCAGTTACCACTCCATTAGGGCAATACACTCAAAAGTTCGGACAAAGCCAAAATAATTTACGGATGTAATGAATAAATCCAGATTTCCATGTAATCAAACCCACTTTTTTAGTATGTTTTCTACAGCTATCTGTCTACCCATATGCACACACATATATAACACATGCATATGTCATATCTAATTTAAAATTATGTTTAGAAAGGAAGGGGTATTTTTATAATTGAGCCTTGCTTGAATAATTGACAGGTAACACCTACTTCGACATAAAAAGTTACACAGATTAAAACCAGAAGTATGAATACACATACACAGTCAATTCACATCTATGAGGAATCTTTTGCTTCAAAACAGAATTTACAAATAAGAAAATTTAGTTTGAAATGAAATTTAATTTACAAACAAACAGATACTCTACAGCTCCTAAAATAAGTGTCATTAGCTATTCTTTTGTAAAACTTGCCTTCCTGTCATACTGATAAATCATAAGTTTTCAAGGTTTTCAGACTATGACAGGTATTCCTCAATACAGATACTGAAAGACTCAGAAGTAGCCATGCTTTTGTCTGCAAATTTATTCTGACATCTGTCCTGGGATTTATATATGACAGTCCGTGTAAACAGTAAAAACATGCTTTTTTTCTTCCTAGTTAACTAACATTTTTCTTAGGATGGAATCATTAAGATATTCCTGCCTACTTGCTGCTTAAACATAACACCTTCTGAACCAGTCTTTCAAATTAAAATTCTGAAAACCATAGATCTCTAAATATAGTAATCCCAAACAAACACAAATTCACCTAAAGTTAAAAAAAAAACCAAAAAACAGCACCATTACCTCATAGAATATTAATTCACAGCTTTTTTTATTACAAAACACAAACATGGGTGCATTTGGACATTCTTGATGAAAGTAATCAGAGAAAAGTAACTTTAACTTATGACTGGTAAATGAAATAGTAATGTGTCTGAATCTTAGAGAAACTTTTCCACTGGCAGTGTCTTTTTAAAGAGTCACAGGTCAAAGATAGTAACTAGCTACAGTAAATATTCAACAACACAGACAACCTCCTCTCTGCCAGAAGTAACTAAACATATGAACTTACATACATTCTGCTCATGACCTCAGTGTAGTATGAGAGTAATAGAGGATACTAAACATTAACACCTCATGTGGCATAAAAAATTACACAAAATTTCAAGAGCACTGAAGGTTTAAAAAACAAAACAACAACAAAAAAAAAAAACACCAAAAAAACCAGAGCAAAGTCAAAGCTGCAAAGAAAACTTCAGTTTCCATATTCAGTGACTTTAGTACCCAAGTTGAGGGTTTGACTTCTTGCCATTTTTATACACCTATAAAATCAAGCCAATTGGAGGGGGAAAAAAAACAACAATAAGCTGAAACAAACGTTCATACACATCCTAACACACAAAGAGAGGGTAGGGCAGAGGCATAATTATCATTAAGACACTGACAAAAGATATGATTAGTTTGCCAATGCAGTTAACTATTATGGTACTTTAAAAGCCCACACTCAGATTCAGAACTCCCCCAGCAGTGAGCACCTGGAAAGAGTCTTATCTTTTATAACATCCCCGAAAAGATGTGTATAAATTAATATAAATATACTAATCTGCACTGTTAGCTTTAATATTCTTCTTTGAATAGCTAAACTTTTCCATCACCTATACTTTCAAAAAAAAAAAAAATCAACTACATGCACCTCCTTACCCTCCTCCTATTTTGCTTATGAAGGGAATGTATCCCTTCTTTCCCTCACATCAAAGCATATTTAGGCCCAGAAAATGTTATTCTCTCTATTACCTAATTTGTTTTCTTTTAGGCATTAAAAAAATCTGTCTTACTGTCTTTTATTTAAATAAATAGAAGTCCCAATGATTTTTTTTATATATATAGAAGTGTGATTCTATGCATTTTCTGTTTTGTTGAGCAATTAAAAATTAGAACAGAACACACAATAACTATCAGTAAATTATGTCAGCTTTATAAAAGGAAATAATATATAAGAATTCTTTAAAAAGCACAGTTCACATCTACTATCAACATATTTGGGTTTTGTTTTGAAGGAAACAAAAGACATCTCACTTGATGCTAAACACAAATATTCTAAGAATCTATTTATGAACGCATCAAATCCTTTTCTCTACATATCCTCCTTACGTCTCTTTTTAGCAATTTGATATATTTTAGTATATCCCATTTTCAGAAAAGGAAAAGAGGTACGAAGGCAGAGAGGAAATGCCTCCTTCCATGTCTGAACAAATTATCCATAGCAACATGCAGCATAACAGTTTTTAATTCTGCACAACATGAATTTCTATAAAAGCGACATTCAGTCAGCAAATTTTTGGCTCTCTACAGATGCCATCATCCACTGCAAGAGTCATTATTCACCAATTCTATCCAGTATTTTTGATCACTGGATGCAAATATGGTAAAAGAAATCCAATTTACCTCCTCTCTGTCATTTTCCCAGAATCCTCATTAGGAAATGTTATTTTACTGTCACTGGAAACCGGTATTAACCATGCATTATTTCCGCATGCAAAACACATACGGAAGATGAATAATTTCTTTTCCCTCTCTCAATCTCAATTTCTTCTTCTATCCTTTATGCCTCTTATCCACTCTTTTGCAAAAATTGCTTATACTTCAAAAAAAAGCCTAATTCCTCAAGTCAATATATATACACCCACCAAGTATTCACAATAGGTAAGCAATCTAACGGAAGCTTCTCCATCTTGTTATAGTTCCCAATTTGTGGAAAGAAACCCAAAGAAACCACACCAAAACAAGCCCATTAACTTCTATGCAAAAAGCCTGTTAAGATTTCATTTTCTCTGCCAAACCCAGCCAGTCTAATTGTCCACATATAAACTGGGCTGCATGTTTGAGAGCTGCAAGGGATAAATTCCCCGTTTTTGCAGTAAGTGCCAAACCAGCACACCAACAGGAGAGAACTTTCTCATGTTTGTCAAAGGATCACAAAGTAGCCTGACTGAAGAGGTGATGGGGGGATTTTGGGGAGTGGTCTGAGTCTTTTTTATCCAACATACACCTAAGAAATTAATTTTCTCACAACACTTTAAAAGTCAACCTCAATCTTTTGATAAGGTTTGTCATACCATTTCCTAGCTTTCTTCAACTGCGCACTACGTGTAGAAGGCATTTAGCTGGGTAAGAAAATACCATTCCCAGGTCTACACTTGCTTTGTTTCCCAGTGAGGACTATGAGATCAGCTTTCTAAACCCTGCACTGTGCTCTCTGGAGTATGCACACATCAACTGTAACAGAAAAGAGTTTGGCATTAATTTAATTTTAACTATTTTTAATTTTTCATTTTGGCCATGGTTTGGTTTTTTTGGTGTTTTGTGATTGGGGTTTTTTGGTTTGCTTGGGTTTTTTGTTGTTTTTTTAAGGGAAGGACTGTTGTCTGTCCTGAAATCTCTGCTCTTTATGGAATTGACTCATTTTTCCACCACATCAATATTAGTTAAAAGGCCCTTATGTTCTTTTGCAAGGTTACTTCTGCTGAATTTTAATCCGATGAAATGTAGAAAGGCTTTGGGGTTTTTTGGGGTTTTTTTAATATGTGTGTGTTTGTGTGTATGTGCACATAAACATTATTTTTCCCCCCAGCTTAATTCTCCAGAAGCACAGATAACAACTTCATTCAATTTTCTTCAACACAGGCATTTGCCACCATTTGAGATGCACTTGGGTATACAACCTCGTCCCAGGCTGGCAAGATGCAATTATGACGTCTCAGAGACTCAAGCCCTTCTGTAAATCAGGTGAAGTATTTTAGGGTATCTCAAGTGGCATTAGACATCTAACATTTAGACAACAGCATTAAGCCTCTAAGATTTCCCGCTAAGAACTGTAAACCCAGGAACACTGCCAAATACACAAATCTTGAATATTAGTGCCATTAAGGAGGAAGCAGCATGTCCTTGGCTCAGGCGGCTCTTTTCTTCTGTCTCTGATCCACACTTTGGGTTTTTTTCCCCTTTTCATATGAAGTTCTTGCCTCATTGTTATGGGCAGAGTTCCATGCCTGGAGCAAACAGCATCAGTGGCTGGGAGCCTGCCTGCCAAACCCCCACTGTCAATGCATCCATTTGAGGATGTTCTACTCATTAGTACAGAAGCTTATGTAAACACAGAAAACAAAGTCCTCAAATTCTCCTTTTTATATACACTAAAAATATTGTCCCACCTGAAATATACTGACAAACACCAAAACATTTAATATAATAAATTAAGAGACTTTCAAATACTTGCTATCAACTGACACCACCATTAAAGCTTAATAACATGAAGGTGTTAAACTGTAATAACCTATATTATATCTTTAGAATCAGAACAAAGATTATTTCTAAATCATACACTGCACATATATGGCTCTTCAGCTAAAATTGCCCAAGAAAGGTTGAATGTATTGCATTGCACTGAAGGAGAGCTGCTATGCTGAACAGTGATTATGAACAAAGGACAGCTTATATATCAGTCACGTTACTGCTGTACTAATCTAAAACCCAAACAATTTTGCAGTTCCCTACGTTTTAAGTGGTTGTTACTGCAAAAGCAAATGATGAGAAAGTTCCACTTTGCTACCAGTTTTGGAAAGCTGTTAGAAAGTATTTTTTTCCTTTGTAATACATTTGATCTTGTATCTCTCTACCCCCAGGAGGACTTGTACCCCATAGGATGGATAATTAACTACATTTTAGATACATACATGACCAACTGCTATAGAATCATAGAATCGTTTAGGTTGGAAAAGACCTTTAAGATCATCAAGTCTAACAGTAAACCTAACACTGCCAAGTCCACCACTAAACCATGTCCCTAAGCGCCACACCTACACGTCTTTTAAATACCTCCAGGGATGGTGACTGAACCACTTCCGTGGGCAGCCTGTTCCAATGCCCGACAACCCTTTCAGTGAAGAAATTTTTCCTAATATCCAGTCTAAACCTCCCCTGGTTCAACTTGAGGCCATTTCCTCTTGTCCTATTGCTTGTTACTTGGGAGAAGAGACCAACACCACCCTATGATACTTTTTTTTGGTAACTTTGTTGTACATTTAAAAAAAATTAAATTGCTTTTAAGTTTTCACTGCTAGAGAACCTGCTTTAAAAGCTGCATTTATTTTCCTTTACAATGAAGTAGTAGTAATAACAGGCAAGTAACTGTCACTTTTTCTGCAGGTATTTTTCAGCACTGTCACAACCATTTCAAAGCAAAGTAATGTATATGTTTAGTTACCAGGAGCCCAATAAGATACTGTTCACACTCAGTACATTGATTTTGTAGCTTAAATAGTCAAATATGTATTTCTTGCATGAGTGGGAATTCTATGTTGTAAGAAGATGCCAAGGGAAACATATGTGAGGTTAACATCACATGTTCCATGGGATTCCAGGGTCAGCAATATTGAAAATTAGATGATTAGTCTCAAATACTGCACATCCAGTATCTATGCCAATATCAGAACAAAAAGTAGTAAATGTAATCTACAAGCTGGTTTATCACAGTGTTAAGATTTCGGTTTAAAGCTAAAATTCCAGTCAGCAAGTTCAACCTCATCAAATCACTTTATTAATAATCAATGTCACATTAGAATGACTACGCAATGGCTTGCTATAAGAACACCACAACTATGGAGCAACTACAGAGTTAAAGGCAGTGCTGGGGGGAAGAAAAAAAAAACCAAACAACAAAACCAGACAAAAACCAAATACCCCACCCCCAAAACAAACTGCTAATCCTTTTGAAAATATGCAAAGTAACACTACCGAGCAGTTACATACAAGAAAGGATGAGTCTCATATTTTAAAAATATAAAGAAAATTTAGATATTTATACTGGTGAGGTTGGAGTGGGATTTGGGTTTTGGTGGTATTTGTTTTCCTTTCCACAGTATAAAATACATATTTGTCTTTTCCTGCAGCCTTTTTTTTTTTAATAAAGATCAGCATTTGAAAGCAATTTATACCGAAACAAACCTGAAGCCCTTTTTATAAATATCCATTCTAAATTCCTATTGCAGAAAAGCTGACGAGCGTAAACATAATCTAATTAAAACAGTCATAGGTTATGTGCTTCCAAGGCCTTCCTCGATGTAATTAGTGCACATGTTCTTTGAAAACAATATGTGATTTGTGTCAATCACACCTATAGGGAGGACTCTGAAACTTAAGCAGTCAAAAAGAGATGGTTGTGATGATGATGGACACCAGCATCACTTAAGTGCTGCAATGGAATGTCTTTCTGGGATGTGTTTTGTTTTTGTTTTTTTAAACCAGGATCACATTAAAAGTTTATTACTTCTGTTCAAGATTCCCTACTCATCTACCAATATTTCAGAGCTTTCTACATACAAAAACCCCTCAAACAAAACAATGTCTAAAGGCAAATGCTCTTCACAAGGAGCTGCTCAGTACAACATTCCTCACTGACATCTCTGAAGGAAAACAGTATCTTGCATCTCTTATTTGTAGTAAGGAAAATGAATTTACATTCAGTACTAGCATGAAAGTAGTAATAATGTATGCTTCATAAAGAAACTCTTAAATATAACTGTCAGTTTTAATAATTGTGTGCTTGGAACAACAGTGTACATACCAAAATAGCAAAGTAGATTTCAATAATTACATAACAACCTAAGGGAACAGAAATTCAGTATTTCTTATCTTTACAATGTAGGCTGTTTGAGCATTTAGAAAACAGTCCATCCATTTATTTAGGAAAAAAAAACCAAAGCAAAACCAAACCACACCTTAAACACTGCTGTGCAATTTATTTTTAAGAGGAAAGTCAGTGGATCTACTTTCATTCTCAAGGATATGCTACTAAAAGAGAGGTATGTATCTTCTTTTTGCAAAAACAAGAATGAGATCCTAGCTTAGTATTAAGGGACTTCAGTGTTATGGCTGGAGATCTTTTGCTTGGGAAAAAACTAAAAAGTTTCAGTACAAGAGCTGTTACTAAAATGAGCATTAGACAATTTCAATTTACACATCCCTGTTCTCCAGGTGTGGTTTAGAACAAGCACCATCTGTTTGAATGTTTAATATTCAGCAGGGATCTGCCAACCAGGTCTTGCACAAAATAGCCACAAATATTACTTTCTGCTCAGAGAAGTGAACTCAGTTCTCACTTTAAACTATTAACAGATCCTTGCCACTATTATCCCTGGCAATATTCTCAGATCTCAAAAATGAAATGTTTAAAGACTTAATGAAAGCTAATTACTGAACTGCTATACTCAGCAGAAAATTTAAATTGAGTTCAGCAAAACATTTGGCATGGAAAAATAAACTATAGGAACAAGTTAGTGCTCTGTCACAGTGTAACAGACCTGCCATTCAGTCAGTGTTGTGGTCAATATTTGCATTAAAAAACTTGTTTATCAGGAATTTATTATGGGAGTTAAACAGCTACACCTCAAACTGACTTGGCAGACAAAATTTTCTGTATATTCAAAGAGCTTTAAAAAAAAAAAAAGAAAAAAGGGAAAACCTGTCGCATCCCTTCAACAAACACAAGATGGCTCTCAAAAGTGTATTTTCTACTCTTAATTCCCACAATCAGATATATCGCCCCACCAGGGAAGTCCTCCTAATAATCAGTCCATTTTCCCTTTTCTGTGTTTCAATCCTTAAGTCACAGTTTTATTTTTGACTGCCTCAGCAGGCATCCTTGAAATATCAGGAAACATCATTGCTCTACTTAACTTCAGCAGCAGCAGATTTTGTTAGGTGAAGGTTAAGTACACAAACAAAACCAAGTCCCCAACAATTTGAAATTACAACATCTGTACCCCTAATCAGCCACTGACTTCAGCAAGGCAAAATACTGCATTTTTGAGGACACTGTGGCAATGAAGCTAAAATCATAATAAACTTCAAAATGGCTTACAACAACAGCTCAAACAAACTTTAGTCTGGATGGGTAGCACTTCCTTTGAGGAAACAACAGAATACAAGATTTCCCTTTCTTCTAAAACTAAAATGCATTTCTTCAATAAATAGAAATAACAACAACAACAAAAAATAATCGAATCATCCTCTACTGCTGGGACTGTTCTTAACACAGCAGGTAGACGTAACTACCTTAGGCCTAGCTACAATTTTTCAGGGCACATTAATGAACACTATCTTCCCACCTTTAGCACAGATAATTAGTACTTACTCATTCCCCCAATTCCCTCACCATTAAGGTAATACATATCAAATAATATTTTCTTCAGAACTGTGCATACCATTTTTTTAAGTAACAGTGCTGACCTATGACACTTGCTTGCAATGCTTCCCAAAATTGCCATTGTGCATTTGACTTGTCCTAAACCAACCAAGATCAACATTTGCTGCTCAGAGTCACCCTATTCTTACAGGGTAAATGCATATAATTCTTTTTAAAAAAAACAACAAAACCAAACACACAAATTGGACAACACTTACTTCATAACTTTGAAGAGGAAAATTTGATCAAAAAGAAATCAATGAATTCATACATCTGAGTTGAAAAATATGGGGTTTTTTTTAAACTATTGGCACAGCATAAAAAAAGATTCTGCCTTTAATCCAAGGAGGCATAGCAGTCATATTCCTCAACACATGTATCTTGGAAAACTAACCAGGAAAGTCTTTTAAAGCATAGCAATCAACTGAAAGAGTAATTTGACATCTCAAGCGACAAACTTGAGTTTCATAGGTCAGACTAGTTTGGAGCAACATAGTAACAAGGAAACTACTGATTCTCACTGTTACGCTAAGCCAAAGTGAAG